CGCTCATACTAAGAGTAAGGTTTCCTTTTAAATTGTATTTATAAAATGGCACCATTTGAAGCCCTTTTTACAGATCTTACAGTGAGAAGCTATATGCACAGAATTAAAACAAAGTCCTGGAGGTGGGAGGTGGGACGTGTTAAGTTCTATCTCTGCCTTTGTCTCACTGGGAGAGGCGTTTAACTTCTCTGCATTTCGTGTTTCCTCATCTATAGAATGAGCTCATGATGATAGTCTCTTCTTTAGAGAGTCACTCCCATGCACCGTTTTATCTCTGGGAGGATGCAGAGGCCCAGGAAGGTTAGCGTCCTGCTCAATGGCCACAGAAAAGAAGAGGCAGAGGAGAGCTAGGATTCGCTCTCACTTGCAGTGGAATCCACCCTAAAGTCCCCAAGGTCCCAGGAAGTCTTTAAGATGAGAATGAGGAGAAAGGATATTGGGGTGCAGGTTATGCTTGCTGTGATCTGCTCTTAAACGGTGCTGTCACTGTGATCCAATGTGCTGGACATAAATGCCAAAGAAGTTTGAATATCAGGTAATGAATAGGAACCAGTGGTAAGTGAAAATTTGAAGAGTAAGTGATAATTTTGCTCTGTGCAGTGTTGCAACCTCTGTATCTCTTTAATAAGAGGTGTTATAAAAATACAGAAACACTTAACTTTTAAAATCATAATAGGAAAAGTCACATTACTATCAATCCCCCTCATAGTACTCTCTTTTGCTTCAAACACACTTATTCAATCATCCTTACCATTGTCTTAAGTAGCTCTGGAAGTCCCCCTCCATGACAATCTTTCGTTGGGCTGTCATGGCTGCCTTGATGTCCTGAACCAATTCAAAACATTTACCTTTCAGGGTCGTTTTGACTTTGGGGAATGGTTAGAAGTCACATCATGCCAGATCTAGTGAATCAGTGGCTGAGGACACACTGCAATGTTTTTATGGGCTTGTATTTCCATTGGATTGGCAGTTGGCAGGAGTAGTCACCGTGGTTTTTGTCATATCTTATAAAGTTATCCACAAAAAGGCAAGAATGATGAGATAAGTGAGTATTCTGAGGGGAATTAACAGCAATATGACTTTTACTCTAATGAATTTTCTCATGTTCTCTATGTTCTGATTACTCCTTGCATGCTTCGTGGCACCTACAGAACGAGGGGAGCTTAGAAATTGATTGTATTCCCTTGAGGGAAGAGTCTGTAGGGACTTGGTGAGGGAACAGGTGAAGAGGCGGAGCTGCCTTTAGAATCCAGGCCTCCCTCTGGTGATTCAGGACCCTGCTCACAGCACCCCGGGAGGGCTGATTCCTGGCTGAGCAACATCAAAGAGCCCTCCAAAGGCAAAACGGTAGAGATTACTAAACACAGGGGAAAAACTACAAGTGCTTAAAAACCACTACTTCTACCAAGAGCCACCATACAGCGATGTTCTGACTTTACAGAGAATAAGCGCATTTGGATCTGGAGCCTTTTGGGGCACATTTGTAATACCAGCTTTAGAATGTATCGAGTAGCGAGGTAATGATATTTATCGTGATCTAATCATGATGTGTACAAGATTCTTCTTTAGTGAGCTCTGGTAGTTTTTTATGACCACTAATACAAAAAATTAAAACAAAAATAAACTCTACCTGTCTCTGTATTAGTTTGTTAGGGATGCCACTACAAAGGAACACAGATCCTATGCCTTAAACAACAGAACCTTTTTTTCTTGCAGTTCTGGAGTCTGACAGTTTGAGATCAAGGTGTTGGCTTCTTATGAAGACTCTCTCCTTGGCTTGGAGGTAGCCATCTTCTCTGTGTCCCCACGTGTCTCTGTTCTGATCTCTTCTCATAAAGGCAGGAGTCATACTAGGTTAGCACTCACCCTCCTGACTTCATTTTACCTCCACTGCCTCTGCAAAGACCTTAGCTCCCAATATAGCCACATTCAAAGGCATCGGGGAGTTAAGCCTTCAACACATAACCTGGAGCACAATCCAGTCCATACACACAGTTGTATCTACATTCACATCTACAGCTCTCTGGATGTTTGTGGGTCTTATGCAAACCTGAAATGATAACAGTGAGCACTCCTCCAGCTCCTATGGTGTGACAACAAAAGGGGACATATTTCAATTTTGTTTCCCCAGTTTAATTAGCATGTGGCCTTTAGCACAAACTCATCAGGACTGAGCATCCTCATAGCCAGCTGTTACCTAATTTTCAGGCTACCGCCTGCTCCAGTGACGGCGGGAAGGGTGAACATGGCGGGGGAAGCCACTGAGCTGCTGGCTGCTGTGAGAATGTCACTGTGGCACCAGATCTGAGGAGGAGCACCGCGGGCAGCAGGAGAGAAACCTGCACTGTAAGCTTCCTCTGGCCTCGGTTCTTTGATGCTCTTTGAGGCATGTCCTGAAGGCTGGGACACTTGTCTACACACAGGAGGCATGAATGTGGGACAGTTATTCACTCCTTTGAAGCAGCAGTGTTGCTTAAAGTAGAACGTACAGGTTTTTCTCTGGTTTTTGTCTTTACGGAATCAAGTTTATTAAAGAATTCCTGTCCAGCCTCCTTCGTTTCCATATCTCCATCTCTCATTTATGGAGTGAGGACCTACTATGTACCGTGTACTCGGCATGGTCCTGTGGGGGACCCGGGTGACTCAGAGGCGCTCTGCCTTGCATATTTTATTCTGGTAACCTAGTCCCTGTTCTGGTCTTGGGTATGCTTTCAGTCACTGATCTGCTAGTTCTTCGGCAAATCTGAAAGGCACTTAGACTAGTAGCGCCCAGACCCGCCCTCTCTTCCCAGCTCCCTGTCTCTCTGTAGACCTGGCCGCGCTTGCAGCGCAGCCCTGGGCCACCCCTACGGTTCTTCCCTCTCAGCTGCTGCCCAAGCGGAAGCTGCTGGCTCCCGACCCTCCGCCCGGTTGTTGTCCCCTCACTCTGTCTTGCCTCACAGCCTGCTTTATTTTTTTCCCTTTTCTCAGCTGTTCCTCTGATTCCTCCCACTTCTTCTATTCTCATTTTGACTCCTTTCCCGATTCACATTGATCATCTCTGATGAGCCGACTTAGTGAGCAAAAATAAAGGTTCCCATGATCTGCTTCCTCTCTGCCCACTGGTGTTTATTCCAGAGAATAAAGATATGTTCCCAGTGTTCCTCCTGGAGCCAAGGGGACAGAGAAGGGGGTTCTGGATCATTTGCCCTTTTCTACCCCCTCACTCATCCTAAAGCTACTTTCCGATTATTGAACATTAGCCAACTAGTTAATTTTTAAGTGAAGAGTGGGAAGGGTATGGAGGGTAGAGGATGAGATTCCATAATGGGGCTTAAATCTTATCTATAGGTTATGAAGTGTTATGTCCATGTCTGGAATAGATTTGACGCAGGCACATATTCTCCCTTGTAAATTGCATTCTTATAACTTCATTCAGTTGGGAAGAAGTGGCCAGACAAAAAATTTTTAAATCAATAATCACAGCCAGTGTGTGTATCCTCCCCGAGACCTGGGATGACTGCCTCTCCCTGGGATGGCAGGCTGGTTCCCTCTGAGCTCCTTCAGGGCCCAGCCACTCTCAGCCATCCTTGGGCCCCAGCAACAAGCAGAGTCAGGTGCCTAATGAAGACTCAGTAGAAGTACAGGGAGTGGATCAACAGGGAGAACTTTCTCCAGGCTCCTGTAATCCCTCCCCTGCGCCACTCTGGTGAACTTGGTGTCACAATACTCATTTGGACCCGTGCAAATGCGCCTTCCAACATTTTTAATTGGACCCGTTAAGACTCATTGCTTTGTCCTTCCGGCCCAGATTGGCTGTTCTTTGAGAGGGGTACAGTGCTTCATTTTCTCCCCTCCATATGGACCTCTATTGCCTACTGCAGAAATGGTATTCACAGATATTGTTTAAGCACTGCTGCTTTTTGTTTGACAGTAGTGTCTACTGGGCATCACGCTTAGAAAGCGGATTTTGCAGAAGCCATAATTTTACTGTACATAAATCTATGAGATAGGGTTGCTTTTCATGCATTTCAAGTGGAGAAGTAAATTAGCCACTTGGTGCTTCGCTTGGCCCAGCCACGTTTATTACTGGCACTTGCTTTGTACCTGACACTGAACCAGTGCTCCTGGCTGATGTGAGTTGAGAGCCCTCAGGGAGGCCTTGCTGCCCGGCCCGGAACTGGCGTCTTTCCTCACCAGCTGGCCACAGACGATCAGCAGGTGCGTGTGTGGTTCCTGCCAGCCTCCTGGACCTTGGTGTGCATTACCACCTGCTGCTCACCTAGCGCGGCCCCTCCTGAATGGTGCAGAACCGCTGCTCCGCTCGGCGCCCCAGTCCTTCCTCTGGTATTCAGAATAGATTTTGCTGTAAGTTAGCAGAATTAACTCCAAAAAGTCTGCACTGTGTTTTCCTGGGAAACCTCAAACTTCCTGCTTAAGAAATAGCGTACAGAGGGGAAACGAACCCTGACAAAGCTAAGAGCAGGGATTTCCAGCAGCGTTTCAGCAAGCCAGTCACAGAGCGTTCACGTGTTAGTTCACTGGCGTGTGCCTCGGCAGAAGCACCCCCACTCTGCCTCCCCCAACTTCCAACTGTTGTGCTGCCGCAGGATTCGGTCTGTCTGGGCAGAGCCCCTTTCTGATTCGGTTACAGAGGGAGTGTGCTGCAAGCGGTCCTCGCCTTCCGATTGCACACAAAGGCAGGCGAGGAGCTCCTTAAAGGGACCCGCCTGCTCCTCCCTGCAGCTGCCACCGCCAGTCCCCCGTCCGTGCGCGCTCCGCGAGCCGGGCTTTCGCCGGAGGATGAGCGGGGAGGGGTCCTGAGGCGCCTCGGCGGCCCCCGGAGCGGGGGCGGGGGAGCTGCCG